TTTATTGCCCCCCCGCTTTATCTCCTGACTTCATCTCTGTTTTCCCCCTCCCACTCTCTCACTCCCTTCCACACTACCACACTACCGCAGCTTCCGGTCTTTCAACCATCGACGCTGCTTATTCTCTCTCTCCTCCATTCGATCTCTCTTGCATGTGAAGGGCGGCGAGTCCGTCCGAGTTCCTCTCTTATCCTCATTCCCATTCTATTCACATCTTCACCTGTACTACCTACTACCTACTACCTACCTCCTCCCCCGCCACCTTACCACATCTCATCGTGAATCATGTCCAACGATCGCTCCGCTCCTATCAACGTCCCCGAGCCCGAGTCTCGCCCTCGTCGAGCATCCATCGCCGACCTCTTTTCCAAGCAGCCCAGTGCGAGTAACTCCTCGGGGAGACAACCCAGCCAGCAGCAGGCAAATCAACGCCGCCTATCCATCACCACCCTCGGCCTATCCGGTTCCCCCACTCAAACCTCAGCCTTTGGGAACCAGTCCTTCCGTCGAGGCAGCATGTCCAGCTCCCTGGGATCCGCTCCAACCGAAGACGCCGTCGCTGATGACCCCGAGAGCTCCTCACCCGGTGCCACTCCCAGCTCACCCTGGGCTCGAAGAGTATCCTTTGGCGCACAAGCACTCCGTGAAGCTCGTGCCGGAAGCATAAGCAACGGTAGATACCCTCCCCGTTCTGGTTCAGGCCCTTCTGCCGGTGTCCCTTCATCACTGGCAGGGGTACGTCGCTCGCCTCCTTTGGGAAGTGCCAGCACCACCACCACCCCTGCCCAAGCCCAAGCCCAACCCCGATCTTCCGCAAGTACTTCGTCTCCACTGGAAGAGAAATCTAACCCGTCGCGCCGAGTAGGCGAAGGTTTCAACTGGTCGGAAGCCCTCCGGTCACGGGCCGAGCGTGCCCCGTCCATCGGCGGTCCCATCTCGCCGCAGAATCCCTCGGCGAATCGTTCCCACAATCACCAACGTGCTGCCTCCATTGCCTCCATGGAGCAACCTATTCGGGAAATACCCAAGCAACCTAAGCAGAACAAGCCCGATTTCTTCCAGGAGAAGATTCTTCGTGGTGACTTTATGGATTAGATCGGATGGTTTACCCCTCTAGATGGTTAAACAAATGCTGTCTGGGTATTTTTCTCTTTGCATACATATCTCCCACGCCTCCGAGTGATTTGAAACGGCCTGTGGTCTTCGACTCCGGAGGGCTGGGTACCTTTTGTTGTCAGCGTGCCTTTCTCTATGTGTTTCTACTACATTACCCAGTGGGGTCTTGACTTGAAAATGGGTTCAATTATCTATCCATCCCTTCTTTTTTCTTGTGTCTCTTTTTTCTTCTATTTTTCTCTTATGTCCTGTCCATGCACCTGGTTGGTAAGCGAGGGGAAAGATTGATTTGATTTGGGCTGGGTTGGGTTAGGTTGGTTGGCCTCTGATACTCAAGCTCATGCTCATTTATTCCGCATTGATCCGTGTTTGTTCTCTTTGTTTATGCTCTTCAAGGACTTGTTTTTACTATTGCAACCTCATCCTGGCGTTGAGGGTTTGATTTGATTTGATGATATGGTAACCGAACACCAAATTGACATGATAGTTTCTTACATGATACTAGTTTCTTTATTGAACAAAACCTAAACATAATTTCATCGTAACCCCATCCCCCATCATTTTTGGGCTGTGTATGTACAAGTAAAGTAACAGCTACGTAATTCATGAATCAGAATCATCCTCTCCCCCCACCATCAATCATATCGTCATCAACTCTCATCTTAAGGTCATCTCCAGTCCTATCCTATCCTATCCTATCGCCTCATCCATTTCCATTTCGCCTCTCGCCTTCCCGCCACTCAACTCAACCCTTCTAATCTATCTAACCACTCGAAGGCCCAGCAACACCAACAGCAGCATCCTCCTCATGCATATGAACCGGCTCCTCCGCTTGCTTATTATTTGCAGCCACCCCTTCATCCCGATCAAATCCCTCCGCCACACCCCGATCCATAAGCTGAGCCGTAGTAAGTTGGTGCTCCGGCACCGGCGGCTCCCACTTACTACTCTCCCAAGGCTTAACCCGCATAACATACATCATATCCATCTCTTCAAGAGTCTTATCCTTACCCTCAATAACAAAGAAGAAAACCGTAAGGACTGCGAAAAACAAACATCCCGCAAAAACATACCCATACGCAAAATCAATATCGTGCGTAATAAACGGCGTAAAGAACCCAATCAAGAAATTCCATAGCCAATTCGATGCTGTCGCCATGGCCATGGCGCGAGCACGGTATCGACTTGGATATAGCTCTGCGACGATTGCCCAGACCATCGGTCCCCAGGTCATGGCGAATCCGGTGATGAAGAGGCAGGCGAAGACGACCATTGCTTTTCCGGCGCCGGGCGTGTTGGCGGGTGTTTCGATGTCGAGACTGTAGTGGCCTACTGAGGCGAAGATTAGGAAACAGATGAACATCCAGATTCCGCCTGTTATGAGGGATTTGCGTCGGCCGAAGTGCTCGATTACGTATAGGCCGCCGAAGGTTGTGCCGAAGTTCACGCCGCCCAGGATCATTTGGGTTACGTATGTGTTGCTTATTCCGGCGCCGTTGAAGATTACGGTGCCCTGTTGGAAAAGAAGAGGAATTATTAGTATGGATACGACAACACCTTGGGGTTGGAAATTGCGGGCTGTTGTGTGTACTCACATAGTAGAAGAAATAATTAGCACCAGTCAACTGCTGAAACATCTGAAGCACAACACCCAAAGCAATCCGATACGGCATGCGTGGAGCCTGAAACATCTCAATCCACCCATGCCAACCACCCTTAGACCCTTTCTCAGCTTCCTGCTGTTCCTGAATCTCGAGCAACTCGTGCACAATAACGCGATGATTTTGCGGCACGCCGTAGAGTTTCGACATAGTCTTTCTAGCGGTCTCAGCACGCCCGTTCCGATAATCATGGCGTGGACTTTCAGGGAATAATAGAATTCCAAATCCCAGCAACAGACCCCAGAGAAATGTTATTCCAAGGGGGATTCGCCAGCTTGCGGTGTTGTCGAGTTTTTCGGTGCCGAAATTTATGCAGTATGCGACGAAGATGCCGAGGGTTACGAAGAGTTGGTAGGAGCTGTGAGCGAATCCAAAGCAGGTTAGCTGGGGGATTACTAGTAATTTTGTTTTGGGGAATAGTTGATTTTCAACTTGAATTGGAGCTTCACTTCACTTCACTTCACTTACCAAACCATAGCACCTCGAATATGTCTAGGTGAAATTTCACCTTGATACATAGGTACTAACAACGAGCACGCACCGACGCCGAAACCAGTCACGAACCGGCCCATCATCATTTGATACCATTTTCCAGCTGGGGAGGTAATTTGAATAATCAATCCAACGTGTAGGATGATGCACCAGGAGAAAATTGACCATTTGCGACCAATTCGGTCGGCTAGGGGTCCGGCAATGAGGGCTCCGATCAATGTGCCGATGGAGAGCTAGATGTGAATATGGTTAGCTATTGTATCATTGCTAGGAAAGGACAGGACATAACCACGCTTCGCCCCGACTTCATCCCAGTTATAAACTATGAACTCACCATAGAAACAATCAACCCAGACCGAACATTACTAAACTCATAAGACCCATCAGACTTAAGCTGAGCATATCGTTCCTTGTAATTCTTCATCTCCAAAAACCCCGAGATCTGACCCGTGTCATATCCGAAGATAATACCGCCAATCGAGACGAATGCACCCAGTGTCAGTGATCGCCATGTCACCCAGGGTATCTTGGATTCGTCGAATGAACTGCTCCGTCGCTTTTCCTGGTCGTCGCTGCCCGTTGAGAGGTCGGTTAGAGGTGGTGATTTACCGCCTGTGCTGGCGCCTATTTCTTTGTTTGTGAATGGGTTTTTCATTTTGGAGGGCCTCGAGCTGGCTCTGGCTGGTGAGAGTGGAATGAAATGTGGATGTTGGTGTTGGTTGGGTGTATGAGTAGGTAGTGTGCGTGGGATATCACGGTTTCAATTGTGTAGATTTGTCGATGAATTGGTTATCATGTCCTCGTGGAGTGACAATGGAAATGGAAATGAAAATGAAGAAAAAAGATGGCGATGAAAGTTTCTAGAAAGTGGCCAGGTATGCGGAGTCTCAGTGATTGCATGGCAAGGCGTTTGCCTCTTTTAAGGGAGTTGCTGTCAATCGCAGTTGGCTCTGAATCATAGGCTTGCCACGTCCGGCGTATTCTATTCGTCATTGATCGGGGTGGCAGTGGCTACTCTACTACTCGCAGGGTACTGGTATTTAGTGGATGAATACTAAGACTAGGTTCGTCGTTAGTTACTGTGAGCACCAACTAACCATTATCTGCTTATAGTTAACTGTATACATCAGGTTGCCTGAGATGCAAGCCACGCACCATCTTCTATACTCCGACCCAACCTATTACACTACAAGGATTATCCAGCCTCCCCGGACATGAACCATTGTTGAAGAGGGCCTGTGACTTATTTCCAAAAATTTTAAGAATCGACGCTGATTCCGTCATTCCAGATTGCTGGGCCCAGCGTGTGCTGTGGTGGCTACAAAGTCGTGACGTCAACCACCCGCCCATTGTCAACAATGATCGACCGGGGAAACTTTGTGGCGAACTTTATTTGTTTCTTGGATCTGGCAAGATGAATAGATGAGTAAAAGAGAGGCGCTAGGTTGGTTTTGGTTGGGGCGAAATGACTGCTACTAGTATGGTCCGGTGCACCTTGGAACTTAAGCGGGAGGCTGGCGGAAGGCTGTTTCTAGAACTACACAACGACATAAATGGCAGAAGGGAAAGCCATAATAAGAAAGAACTGAAGGCAAAGTCCAAAATATATTAATCAATCGGTCCAAAGAAGAAAAAAGGTCTAAGGTCTTGAATGACAAGGCCCGACGAAGTGAAAAAAAAGGTATAACTAGTGGCTACACCACACAACCATGTAGGCACCATCTACTTCACTTAGTAGGGAATACCGTTAGTCATGAGCTGGAACTGATCGTATCCCTTAGTAGAAACGCTCATGTAAGACTTGCGAACAAGATCCCGCATGTACTCCGCAGCATCGCGCTCATTCTTCTCAAGAACAAATCGAGCACGGAAATTACTCAGTGTCTCAGGCTTGAAGCAAGGCAGACCACTATCAAGCATCAAAGACACGATATGGGCCAGTTTAGTACAGTAGGGACGCGAGGCCAGGAATGCCTTGACGACCAGAGACTCGAACCAGCGGTAGGGCTGTGTATTGGTCGGGTTGTGCGAGTTATGTCCCGGCAAGCTGATACCCGAAGTTCCGCTAGGATGATGCGCGGGATTGTGGGTGCCGCTCATGACGGCCACCATCTCGGAGGTCAATTTGAAAGGAGCGCGCTCGAATCGGACGCCACCGGGTGCGATGTCGAAACAGAAGCCGAAATCGATGTGGATGATGTGTCCTGCGTCGTCGACCATGATGTTGCCGTTGTGTCGATCTTTGAATTGGAGCAGGTATGAGATTACAGAGTATGCGGCCATACTCTTGACGAAGTTGGTGCGTGCTTCTTGGAAACGAATTGAGTCTTCGCCGCCGTATTTGGACACGAAGTAATCGTAAAGACCATTGACTGCCTCGCGGCCCAACATGTCGCGGGAAATTGAATTGGGTAGCACGTCAATCACACCACATCCAGGCGCGGTGGATGTGACTCGGTACGGGAAGACCCAGACGTCGAGACCAACGCTGGAGAAGATGCTGCGGAAAGCTGCGATCATCTGCAAGGCAAGCATATCTTGGCGGCAGTCATCGCCGACCTTGAAGATGGCCGACTGCCAGATTTCATATGTCTCTTGCTCAGCTTCCTTCGCGCGCACCGATACCTGGCGCTGGTGGTTGGCCTCGTGGACCAGGGCAGCGGCCTTGGCCTCTAGACGGGGTCGAGTCTTTTGGATACGGAAAGTAGCCATGTAAGGCGCCTTTGCGTGACTTTGAAGCGGCTTGCCGGATTTCCGATCGATTCCAACAACCACGCCGTCGGGGTTACTGGGGAGATAGACTCCGACTTCGACCTTGATCTTGCGCAGCTCTTCCTCAATCTTCTCCTTTTTCTCGGGCTTGCTTCTCTTGATGTAAGGACGAAGCTTGCCAGAGACGCCGGTAACCTCACTGAAGAAGGAGAATTCTCGTTCGTAGAAAATGCGCTCCTCGACAGAGAAGCTCGCGATCAAGTTATCCAGGAAGCGGTCGAGTGTCGGCTTGAGAGGATCCGGCTAATGCGTGTTATGATTAGATCATCGTCGGAAGAAAAGGCAGGAAACAGCGGGGAGTAAGCTTACAATTTGGGAATCCTCGTCCTTGTAGGAGTTTGCCTTCATGTTCCAAATCACCTGATGCGCGAACAGCTGTGATAGCTTCGCAGTTTCGAGGATATAACGCTCAACGTATCCCAGAGCATCGTATCGCAGGGCCTGGACTAATTGAGGGACGAAATAGAACCGAACATCCATGGAGTGGCTTTCTAGGGCGCGCATCGCGTATTGCAGAATGAATGGATGGTTCCCATAAGCAGGCAAGAAGTATGTCAAGGCTTCGGTGGGATTGACAGGCGCCCAATACAGCAAATACTAGATGAAATATTAGTTCACCGAAGGGACCTCGGATCTCAAACCTCACACCGGACTTACCTTGAGTTGGAAATTGACATCAGATGGCAAAGAGGAGTCGAACATGATTTCGAGGGCACTGGCTTCAGTGATGGCCTTTTCGGGGAAGTTCATGATAAGCCATCGAACATCTTGCTGCATCTTCGGCGACGGGAACCGGGCAGCAAGTTGAATAGCCAGGCCGGGACTCTCAGCCCACGCAAGTCGTAGGAAAGATGCGGCACCCTGGTAGAACGTGTTAGAGGCTGTGTCAAGTAAAAGTATCGGTGTAAAAAATACCTCTGCAGCATTCTTCCCTCCGATCGAGGGCATATGGTGCTTGCGCTCTGGCTCCAGAGGGAAGAGCCAAACTCGGAGGCGGGATCTCTCGTGTTCAATAAGAATTTGCAACAGATCCTGCTTGGCTTGCAAGGACTTGTAGGATCTTTGGGACTGAGAGGCAATATCCGAAACGCTTCGAAGCATGGACAAGGTATCAGCGAAAACCTTATCCTCCGCCTTAATTTGCAGACGGTTGCCGCCAAAAGACCATCTAGAAGATTCCGAAGTTAGGAATAAGCCTCATTTCACGAGTATAAAAAGTCATGACATACCTCGGCGTATGTTTGAACCAACTGAGGGCGGCTGAAAGGATTTGATCCTTAAGCTTCCAAGTCGCTGGGCCATTTCGTGGGCTTAGGTTCTGCAAGACCTTCAATCCGAACACGATTATACGGAAATGAATTTCTCTTGCCAGGGGATGGCTTTGGGTATTCGCGAGAGCCACGACCGTGCTGCTAACCAGTCGACAGAACAGTTGTTGATCCTGCAAGCTTCCGAGACGCACAGCATTGAAATGGCTCTCGAAGAACTGGAGAACACGCATGTGGGGTGATAAAGCATTCTGCGCGTCCTGCTGCTGTTTAAGCATCAGGGCCTTGTCAGTTGGAAGAAGCTCGATCTGCGCATGCATTGGATCAATGCATCTAAAGCTGTTAGTATCTTGATTGAAACGTTTCCATGTGAAGAAATAACATACTCAAAGGACGGGTCAAACAGCCCCTGTCGGCACTGAACGCTTCTTTCCCAGGCCTCAACAACCTCTGAGAGAATTCGGGGTTCAATGCTAGGATTTTCATGAATCACTCCCAGCCAGAGAGACACTCCCAGCTTGATCGTCTCCTTGGTGAAGATTCGGAAGGGCAGAGCAACAAGGTAGTGAACAACCGACAGCCGAGGCTTGCTGCTGCTACAAATGAGGCCGGCGGCTTGTCTAAGCAAGTCCCGGACCTCAACAAGCGGTATATCTTCGCCATTAACACTGCGTCCATAGATATGGGAAAGAGTAGCCTCCAAGCGATCAGCGGCCTCGGGAGACATTTCAGCTTCAGGTGGATGGCCACTAGTTCCGAATATGTCGTTGTTGGGTCCATGGAGCAAACGCATGTCAGGGCGGCGATACTTTTGACGAGTGGTGTAAAGTGCCATGAAATCGGAAGCCAGGTTGACATCACTGCTGTCGTGACTATCCAGGGAGCCTAGTCGGGGGTCGCTCTGTGGAATCAGTGAGCCCATTTCCAATGCGAAAGACCGGCCCATAGAGATGTGACCATAGCCCCCATCATCATCGTATTCAGAGAGATAGGTCTGAAGGAGCCCCTTGATGTCGAGAGGAGCAATGTTCAACACCGCCGTGACCCATGCCTTAGCATGTCCGAGGAATCGATCCAGGGTAACCTTCCTAAAGGCATAGTTATCGGGCAGGTCAACCCGGACAATACCCATCGGGGAAACCAGAGATGGTTTCCACTCAAATTCATCCAGCTCTCCCTGGAGACAGGATAACCACATAACAGTCAGAATCTCCAGGAGAGCAAAAAGAGAATGCTTTTCGCACAGAGCCGAAGGACATTCGCGGATGATCTTTTCAACACATTGCGTGGCGATACTTTGAACTCTTTCAATGCGGTGGCAGCAAGCTACCAGAAAATCTGCCAGCTGTTTAGACAAGAAAGGTGCCGAGAATTCATCGTATTCTCCAGAAATAGTTCGCGATAGATAGCAGGAGACAGTTTTGTCGGCGACAGCGCTCATGCAGACAACCATTTCTGGGGTTGCAAGGGATGGGTCGCGGAAGTAATTGAGAATCTTGGTACAGTCACCCGCCGATGCGCGGAGACTTTCAATCAGAAGAACAGCATTAAGGAACACTGATCTTGGGTAATCCAGCCGTTTGATATCAGATTCGCGACCTGCAAGCTCTGCAATTAGAGTTCTCTTCTGGTCCAAAACTCGCTGCGGCCCGGAGCCTCGTCTGAGAACAGTATTAAGTTCTACATCGCTCTCGAGAGACTCCATGCGTTCTTCGGCAATGAGTGGCGGCGAGTGACTCGCAAGCAAACGAAGCTCCTTCATATGCTGCTGCGCAACAGCTGAGTTGAGGGATATTCCGTGGACGGCAATATTAAACCAGGCATCCCGGAACAAGGACATGATAATATCATCATATTCAAGCAGAGACTGAGACATTTCTGGTGTCTTTGAAGCAGAGATCAAAAGTGCCAGTGGTTTCAAGAGAGGGGTGATATCGCTAGCGGCAAAGACGACTTCCCTATGGCGCTCTGTCTCGAGATCCGGCACATCACCCTTGTTGACAATGCTCTCCAATAGATGAATCAGATACATTCGATGGAGAGGGGACTGTCGGTCCAAGATCACCGCCAAGTGTGACATTGCAGATTTGACTGCTTCGGAAATCACAGTCAAACTCTTGTGGACCCCATCAAGATAAATGCGATTATAGAACTTCAGCAACAGCTGGAACTCGGCCGACCCGCTGCTCAAAGCGAGGACGGCAGTTTCTTGAATGATGTACGCATCTACTGAGACGCCGAGTTTGCCGACCTTCTGAAGCAACATGGACTGTGCCAGAGCAGTGATTTTGTCATCATTGCAGCTAGTAGCAATGGCCACAATCGCGTGAATAACATTCCTGAAAATGAGGAGATCCTCCTCTCCAGAGGCAGAGAAAGATATTTGGCTGCCGTTTCTGTATGCGCCAAGGTTGTTTGTATTGCCAACGGGGTCTCCGAGGAACTGATCCTGGGCAGAAAAATCACCATTTGCACTGGGGCTCAGTGCATTCCCCAGAGAGTACAGGGTAGTGATCACGGCATCTTCAGACAGAATGCTGAGGACTTGAGCAAGGCATTTAGCAGCAACGGCAACAATTGGGCCGGTAGGAGTTCCTCCTTGAGTCAAAAACTTCAACAAGCAACGTCTCCCGATCGTGGCGCCACTCGAGGACATTCTAGCGAGGATAGCCGTGCATTTCAAAGAAATGATTGCCAGACTGTCAGATGCCATTTGCTGAGCATCAGCCAGAGTGTCCTCAAGCCATGAGAGAAGAACATCGTTGTTTGTAGCATCCTCTCCCAGAACGACGCAATTCAGGAATCCGACTAGCGCATCTCCCTTCACGGAAAAGGCCAACCGCTGCTGAGAGGGAGAACCGACTTGTAAATAGTCAGAGCCATCCGCAAGCAGATTAATCTCCTCGCTGATGATATCGGTGATACGCTCGACCAGAGCAGTGTCAGCCTCGTCATAGCCCTTTGCGATACTCATTCCTGCCATATACTCGTTCAGAAGTTGGTCATCGGACAAGTTTTGGGACTCGATCAAGGATGCAGCGGATGACTTCACAAAGCGCATAAAGCCCTGCTGTACGAGCATGGCACCTAGGGGCCGACCTTGGACTGCGTAGCGACGCGTGTACTTTCTCCAGTCCTTGAACGTATTCTCGGCCATACCGGCATTGCGAATGGTGGATGAAGCTGTCTCGACCGCAATCATAAATGGTTCGGAGAGCATGACTCGTAGATGGTCGATGATTCGAATCTTTTCCCCAGAGGACCAAATAGAGGTATACTTGACTGACGACTCCATGAATCCAACCAGGGAGACTGCGATTGACAGAATGGCAATAGACTCATGAACGACTCCGCGACCACCTGCCTCGCTTGACGAGTATTGGAAAGGAGTCACCGCGTTGATAGCCTCGCTGCAATTGTTCAGAAACTCTGTCGCTGAAGTGACAACAGCTTGGCGCAAGGATGGGAACCTTGTTCCAAGAGACAGGAGTGCTGAGGTCAGGTTGGTGGTGAGTGTTTCCCATGGCGATGGCTTGACAAATTGTAGGAATGGCGACGACCGAAACAGTTGGCTGGGAGCTTCGGGCAGGTAGCGAGCCAGCTGAGTGACCAACTTGGTTGCATTCTCTTGGTCTTTCACGGAATTGGCAGCTTTGCAAAGAGCCAAAAGGACGTCGAGTTCGCGAATTCCCTATCGATATATGTCAACTTACATACCCAGGAAGCGGGGACCAAGAGGTCGAGCTTTGCGCACCATTGGGACCCGCGAAGTGGGGGATTTGTCTTTCAAGACTCCATTCAGTATACCATCGGCCTGACGGGCAGGCCGGGTTTGCTGGTTCAGACGAATGAGGTCCGATTCATTGCCTCGGGCGGGTTGGTTGACGGCCAGAGCGGCCAGTTTCTCAAAGGCGGAGCGCCTGATTCCGACGGAGAGACTGGAAGGGGTCAGTGGTAAACGGGGAAGTTAATCTGAAGTCAAAGAAGCGACGTACCCATCCATCTCGGCGAAAGTGCAGAGCTGTGAACTAGGGAAGTTCAAGATCGTGCCAGGAGATCCAATAATTCCGGGGAAGGGGGTTCGGAAGCTCGGGGGGCACGTGTCAACGCGATTTGCGGAGCCAAGATTGTCCTCCCCGTGGAATGAGCCTTGTTTGTTTATTCTTTCTCGCTATGAATGATGGTAAATTCTTGATTTAAATTCCTTAGATATTTAAATTATTTTACTTTGGATAAATCTATGCGTATACATTTATTTATATGTACATACAAGAGCATAGACATAGACTAGTATACTAGTAGTAACACTTACCTAACTACTACGGGACCAGTACTCGTACTTACGGCGAGGCTCATTTTGCTGGGGCGGGTGGCGGCCGCGCTTCTCCCTCGAGCTGCGACTTCCAAGCTCCTCTTCCCACCACCTCCAGACTTCCTCGACAGCTCTCGCTCCCACCGAATTTCACACCTTTTCGCGGGGTCTGGGATCAGCCCGTCCACTTCAATCTAATCTCGTCGAGATTTCCCTGTCCGTCCTGCCGCTGTAATACCAGTGTCTGGAACGTCAATGCCGCAGTGATTCATCTGGTCATCACCCGCTAATTGGCCTGTGGATAAGTTCCTGAGACCAGGGGTCTGTGTGTTATAAGTAAGAGCCATGCCGCCTCGTGAAAAAAGCTCGCTCAAACGGGGAAGAGTGAGTACTTCTATCCACGTTGACGTTGACCGTTGACGCAACATGCCTGCCTGGAGTGGCTTGCCTTGCTTACCGTGCGCTCGATCAATTCTAGGTCAACCCCGAAACGGACTCGCAAGACCAGAAGAAACCCAGGCGCTCTCAAAGAATATCGAGCCAGCAACAACTGGAGACGCCGGTGGACCATGACTATCTCCCCACCCCGCTGACCCATGCCAACTCGACCGCTACAGACATCCGCAAAGAACTCACTGCCACTCCGCCGGACAGCCCGAGTCAAAACCTCGAATCGCAGGCGGTGTCATCCCCACCTGGTGATACCCAGGCTCTCTCGCAATTTGTGTACCCCCCAAGGGCTTTTGCGGACGAGGTCGACGATGAGAGTGCCGAGGGAGTGTGGGGATACCTCCTCCCGCTGGATGACAACGTGAGCGATCCGTTCGTTCTGAAGAAGCGTGATAGCTGCAATGGGCGGGAACGGGCTCCTAAGAAGGGTCAGGCTCCTGGTGGTTACCTGGTCGGCCGTCACCCCGAGTGTGGTATGCAAATATCCCGAGCAACCTGTTTTACGACCTGGATGTGAATGCTAATGAGTCAACAGATCTGGTGATCAATATCCCAACCATTTCAAACCGACACTTCCTCCTCTTTTCGGAGAAACGTAAGGGAGATGTTGTTGCTATGCTAGAAGATCTTTCGAGCAATGGTACCTTTGTCAACGACGCTATAGTGGGACGAAACAAGCATCGCGAGCTTGAAGATGGTGACGAAGTGTCCATTTTGAATGAAGCCCGCTTTGTCTTCCGCTATCCTCGCACACGAGACACGCATGGTTTCCGCCAGCAGTACCGGATCCTGCAACAACTCGGAAAAGGCCATTTTGCGACTGTTTACCTCTGTGTTGAACGGGCGACTGGAAAGCAGTTTGCCGTCAAAAAGTTTGAGAAACGTCCTGGAGACTCCCAAAAGAATCAAGGCGAGGCATTGCAGCAAGAAATTGCTCTCCTGATGGGTGTCAATCACCCGAATCTGCTCTGTCTAAAGGATACCTTTGACGAAGCTGATGCAGCTCATCTCGTTTTGGAACTTGCTCCCGAAGGCGAACTGTTCAACCTGATTGTGAACAAACAAAAACTGAGCGAGGCTGAGAGCCGTCATCTCCTCCGCCAACTCCTCGAGGGCTTGAAATACTTGGTATCTATATGTTGTATCGATTGGAACCGACGATATTGATGCTAACATATTCCTTCAGCATGACCGAGGAATCGTTCATCGCGATATCAAGCCGGAGAACATCCTTCTTGCAGACAAGAAAATGACTGTCAAGTTGGGTGATTTTGGGCTTGCGAAGATCATCGGCGAGGATTCATTCACAACCACTTTGTAAGTGCGAAATTTCTCTTCGTCCCTTTTCCATCATATTCTACTTTACGGATATGCTAACACAGAATACGCAGGTGTGGCACACCAAGTTGTAAGTTATTAACTACGGTCCCTCAAGTGTGAGCCTTTTGATCAGTAACTAATTGTATAGATGTGGCACCCGAAATCCTGCAAGAGACAAAACAGCGACGCTACACCAAAGCCGTGGACGTCTGGTCATTGGGGGTTGTTCTTTATATCTGTCTTTGCGGATTCCCACCCTTCTCGGATGAACTGTATACCCCACAGAATCCGTGGACACTTGCCCAACAGATCAAGATGGGACGATTCGACTACCCATCTCCATACTGGGACTCCGTGGGAGACCCTGCACTGGAACTAATCGACCGAATGCTTACCGTCGATGTCGAGAAACGCATCAGCGTGGACGAGTGTCTCGAACACCCATGGCTCACCGAGAAGTACCCCAGCGTCAACGATAGTACCGATGGGCTGACGGGCGCACTCGGCAAGCTTGATTTCTCCAAGCGCAAGGTTGAGCGCGAACGCACTTTGTTAAGTAGTGTCAATGCGGCTGATTTCAGTGAGCATGTCGAGAACGGCGCTACCCCGATCAAGGTATTCCGCAAGAATGAGGCTGGAAAGCGTGTTCACAACCGCCCAGCCAAGGTTTCTCGTCGTGAACCTTCTCCGGGTGACAATAGTGGCCCTCGAGACTTCGCTAACCTCGGCGCTCGAGGAGATCCTGCATTGTACGAAGAGTAAATCGGGTCCTCGCCAGTCAGTGCCAGTGTCAGTACGATATGTACTGAGTAGATCTGGGATCGAAGATTGCTTCGGTAGATCGCGATCTGGGTCTGGAGCACGCTGTGTTCCAATTCTGTTTTTCTAGTACTTTATTGTTTCATTTTATTCTTCAGGGGGGGGGGGGGGTATCATACGTTGGGCTTACACAGGGCTGTGTGAGAAAAAGGACTTAATGTATAGTTAGATGGCGTCGGAATCATACGTTGTTTTTTTTTTTTCATTCTTTAGAGGGTATCGTGCGATCGCCAGGTACCGGCGGGCCACTCCCCCGAAGTGGCCGAAGTGGCGTGAGGCACCATCGCTCTCGTATATCCTTGAAAGCACCTCCGGAATTACGACTACGGGCTTTAATCTGGATGAAGAACCAGTAAAAATCATAGATAAATTTTCAAGGCCAATAAAAGCCAAGTGCATTCTAAAAGAGAATAAATTGACCCAGGCCAAGCCCAAAAAAATAGGAGTCGAAAATAAAATAAAATAAAATAAAAACTTGAAATAGGCGGAGGAACCAGGCTGGACCCGCTGCCCCCTTTCACCGAATGACAGTGAAGATTATTATTCTTGCGATCTCCCCCCCCCCTTCCACTTCTTCCTCCTTTGAAGAGTCTCCCCATCCCTCCTACCCCATTGAGCATCCTACTCGTCGCCATGGGTCTCTTCGCAACTATTCTCGACTCGTTCTGCGAGCATTGCTCCGACCAGTCCATCTACACCCTCGTGGCGGTTGGCGCATTGTCTTTCATTGCCCTCTCCGTCGTGGTTAATGTCCTGCGTCAATTGCTGTTCAAGAACCCTCATGAGCCACCTGTTGTGTTCCATTGGTTCCCCCTCGTCGGAAGCACCATCAGCTATGGCATGGAACCATACAGTTTCTTCCAGTCATGTCGCGCAAAAGTGTGTCCTCCGCGATCCTCTCCCCTACCAAGAATTTGTTTCTAACCCCCGGCTCGTTCCACCCCACAGTATGGCGATATCTTTACCTTTGTCCTCCTTGGCAAGAAAACCACTGTCTACTTGGGTACCAAGGGCAACGACTTCATTCTGAACGGAAAACTGCGCGATGTTTGCGCCGAGGAGGTCTACTCGCCACTCACCACCCCCGTTTTTGGCCACGATGTTGTCTACGATTGTCCCAACGCGAAGTTGATGGAACAGAAGAAGGTGAGATACTGGAGATCTGTAACAGTATGCGAACCTCTTGGTTGATCAGTTTCGTTTCGAATAGTTCGTGAAATTCGGTCTCACCTCCGAGGCGCTCCGCTCCTATGTTACCCTGATCACCAACGAGGTCAACGACTTCGTCGAGAGCTCTCCCGCATTCCAGGCCGACAAGGGCACATTCGATGTCTCGAAGATTATCTCGGAAATCACCATCTACACTGCGTCTCGCTCGCTCCAAGGAAAGGAGGTTCGCGACCGCTTCAACTCCACTTTCGCCGAAATGTACCACGACCTGGATATGGGATTCGCCCCCATTAACTTCATGCTTCCCTGGGCCCCGCTTCCTCACAACCGCCGCCGTGACGCTGCGCAGCGCAAGCTCACCGAGACTTACATTGACATTATCCGCAAGCGTCGCGAAGAGGGTGGCAAGAAGGACTCTGAGGATATGGTTTGGAACCTGATGTCCTGCACCTACAAGAACGGCACCCCGATTCCCGACAAGGAGATTGCTCACATGATGATTGCCCTCCTGATGGCTGGACAGCACTCTTCTTCTTCGACTGCCGCCTGGATCGTCCTTCGACTTGCGACCTGCCCCGAGATCACCGAGGAATTGTACCAGGAGCAACTCCGTGTCCTTGGCGATGAGCCTTTGACCTGGGAGAACTTGCAGAAGCTGGATCTCCACTCCAAGGTCATCAAGGAGACTCTCCGCATCCACGCCCCGATTCACTCTATCATGCGCGCCGTCAAGAACCCCATGCCTATTGAGGGAACTCCCTACGTGATCCCGACCACTCACAATGTCCTCTCTTCTCCTGGTGTCTCTGCACGATCAGAGGAGTTCTTCCCCGATCCTCTGAACTGGAAGCCTCACCGTTGGGACGAGGCTCCTGCTGAAAAGGACGACGAGGACGAGGAGAAGATTGATTATGGTTACGGTCTTGTCACTAAGGGTACTAACAGCCCTTACCTTCCTTTTGGTGCTGGACGCCATCGCTGCATTGGTGAGCAGTTCGCCTATGTGCAGCTGGGCACGATTCTCGTCGCCTTGGTGAAACAGTTCAAGTTCACCAGTACTCCTGGCAACAACGGTATTCCGGAGACTGATTATTCGGTAAGTTATCACATCATCATACTGTATCAACGCGGTATCTCTTCAATATCCATACTAATGCAATTAATAGTCCCTGTTCTCCAAGCCTCTTGGCAAGTCCTACGTGCAATATGAGAAGCGCGGAACAAAGGCATAAACAAAGCTGGACTGGAATTATGGTTGCACAGAAAGAAAAACAAAACATACAGGATAAAGACACTCGGCATTGCCTATAACTCTATTTTAATGACCTTGACTTTCACCTTCATAGATGTCACCAGGACCTGGACCTTGACTTTGCAATTAATTCTCTTTGCAGCCTTTGCCTTTGTCGTGTCGATGTCTTGAATGATTGGATTGTACCCGTTGTATCATACTACCCATTTCTATTTATTATTTTTACTTATTTCAACTTTAAACACTATACCTATATTGTAGCCATTATAGCTGTAGCTTTCTTCTCTTCTTTTGCCGTCTGGCTTTCTTACTATTGTCTGTGGAACACATGGTCTCTTTCTTGTCTCCTTCATAATACATAAGTGGTCCTGGTATATTGGTCTTGCCTCGCATTAAATGAATGAAGCTATAGCCCCTTTCCTTGTCCTACTTAGGCAACGCATGGGTTAGCGCCATCACCTGATAGTGGTTGGAGGCTGGGAATCGACCCGCGGGGTAGGTGTCTGTGAGTCTGACTCTATCTCGAGTCTCAAACCCTTTGTTGCAGGCCATTTTGATGATGACTTCTTTATCATTTGGCGATGGAAACTCAGGTAATCAGGTGGGAGTCAACTTCGGATCACTTCATCTACACTCAGGTACGCAGGACTTAGTAAGACATAGCTTATCCAGATGGAATTCACTAATATCTACTTCAGCGAGTGAAGAACAAGCAAAAATGGGCGCAGCACGAGCAGAAGATCTCAAAGATGACCCATTGGTTCAATCCACTGCCACTTGAGGATATACATCAACAATTACTCGACAGCCTAGTTCATGGCTCCTGCAAATGGCTCTTTGACCGGGACAGGTTTACTTTCTGGAAATCAGCCGATAAAATCCACGATAGATATCGGATGCTCTGGATCATTGGCAAGGCGGGAGTTGGTAAAACTCATCTAGCAGCTCGAGTTATTGAAGTGTTGAAGGAGCAATCAGCTAACAAGCTCGCGTACTTCTACTGCGATGCCAAAGATGACAGGCGTGGGTCTGTTATCGCTATATTGCGCAACTGGACCTGGCAATTACTTCAACAAGACCCGGTTTTGCTGGATGATGTGATCCCGATAATAGAGAAGAAGCAGTTACCGAGTCAAACTGCTCTTGAGGATGTCCTATCTACTACGCTTCAAAGATTACGGGATGTAATCCTCGTTGTTGATGGGTTTGACGAATGCGATACTCAAGAGCAAGTGAAACTTTATCGAGTTCTAGCTCGCTTTTCTCAGGATGCGCGGGTTTTGGTTTTTCGAAGGAGCGTGAATTTTTTGAGCAAGGTTTTGTTTCCGGAGGAATGTTTTATTCTCTATCATATCACTGAGGATGATAACTCGGCTGATATCCACCGATACATTGATGAAGCTGTGACTGACCTGGTAATCGACGACGATAATATCAGAAAGACGATTGATGCGGCATTGCGATCAGGTGCTAATGGGATGTTTTTATGGGTGGCATTGATGATTGAAGAGTTACGGAAGCCACTTTTCAGCGACGATGATTACCTCGAGACACTGAAATATCTACCAGAAGATCTCAATATGCTGTATACTCGAATCCTGCGGGGACTCTCTTCTCATCCTCGCGATATTTCAACCTCGAGTAGTCTTATGCAGCTTATAACATGTGCGCGCAGACCACTGACTCTGTATGAGGTTGGTGCTTCTATGAAGGCTACTGTTGGTGGAACTGAACTCAACGCATCTGCCCTGTCTGAGGAACGACTTCGACAGACTGTTCTTCATTACTGTGGACCTTTGGTCACAATTCATAAACGGCCCGGCAATTACTCTACGGTAACCCTTGTTCATTCCACCTTGAAAGAGTTCTTACTTGAGCCCCAAGACGCTGATGCTCAGACACCGTTCAAAATCAATGAGGGCCATGCCCACTTGGCTTAAACGCAAATATGTTTAACTTATCTCTGCTACGATAACATCGAAGCTCCACCATACAATGCATTCGATGGAGTGGGAATGCCAGAAGGTACTACTAATACAATTTTGCGGGACCACAGTACAATAAGGGCCAACATGGAAAGTCAGTTAATTGCTTTCCTTGAGAAATACCCACTGTTGGAATACTCGTCTCTCCATTGGTGGTGGCATCTCACCCGTTCGTCGTCCTCGACAGAGACTAACAGTCTTCTTCTACGTTTGTGCCGCTCTAGTAGAAAGACTGTTAGATGGCTCCAGATAGTTCAATACTTCCGTGGAGACAATGGTCTCTGGGGTTCGAGCAAGGGCCAAGGAGATCTTGAAGAAATAGCCGCAGTGCGAAAAGTGCTTCCTGCTATGGAACATGAAATTTTCACAACTTGGCTGAAATCATTCGTTCGTGATAATCACAGCCGAGTTCATCTCACAAAATGGCAACATTTTCTCTTCTGCGGGGCAGCAAGTGATTTCTTGCCCGAAGTCCACGTTGCCGCATTCTTTGACTTTGCTCACCTGGTCGAAGATTTCCTTCTTGAAGGGGTGGATGTGAATCTGAAATCTTTCACTGGGCAGACACCTCACACTCTTGCCGCTATCAGTGACTCATTCAAGAGTATGGAGGTTTTGCTACGTCACGGTGCAGATGTAAATGCAATAGGCTGGGGCGACATGACTCCCCTACAGTGGACAGCTCGGCCTGCGTCCTGGGCTGCAATAGATCCGGTTCCATACATTGCTGGAAAGATCTTGCTCGATGCAGGCGCGCGAATTTCTCGGGATTGTAACAACAACTTCTTAGCATCGGTTTGCCAAAGCTCATTCCCCGAAGATCCATTCTGTCTTCCTTTTGTCTCATCACTGTTAAAGAACGGTGCAGAAACCGTGATAGATCAGGGGCATATTCGCCCTGCTATTCACTGGGCTGCAGTTTGTGGCAATGCAGCCCTAGTCAAGCTTCTTCTTGAGCATGGAGCTAAGCACGACTCTAGTCCTCAGGGCGTCCCTGGTAGGGAGACGCCACTTTTGCATGCATGTGCCACAATAGGGGATAAGTTGAGCGTTGTGGAGCTACTTCTTAGTGTCGGTGCTTCGGCGTCAGCTCGACGGGACGATGGTCGTTCAGCTTTGCATCTAGCATCCAAACATCCACGGCAAAATGGAATGATGCTGCTCCAGGCCGGTGCAGATATCAATGCGAGATCTGTGGATGGCAATACTCCCTTACATGATGCAATTATGGATAACAACATGGAACTGATCGACTTGTTACTCGTAAATCACGCTGATCTAGATATTGAAAATGAAGCGTCGTTAACGCCACTTGCGCTTGCAGTTGAGAACCGCTTTTCCGGTGCCATTCAGAGATTTCAAGCTGCGAGCCAGATTATGAAAAGAAGTGACGCAGGGGTGCCAACACAGCCATCCATTTACTGGCCTAGATATCCCCGTGATATTTTTGAAGTTTATTGGATCCTACAGCTAGCGTGGGCTCCCAACAAGCCCCCACGACCGATATTACTTCGAATTCTAGACTTGGCAAGGTATTGGCTGCGGTCTCAAAGTTTCCGAAAGGAGCTCATAAGCTGCGATGAGAAAGAATGTCAAGATCGTCGGTCATATTTGATCTCAGAGCCCATCCGAGGCGGGAAAGACAGTCCCGTGAAGGAGGTCCAATTTATAATCTGGAGTCATGATCAAGGATTCAGCTCCTATCCTGAGTTCCATGGTACTTACGAGTTCTCCTTCACCTGGTTCGATGTCGGCATTGAACAGTTACTTCATCGGCTGCCTATTGAGATTAAAGATGAAGAGCGCGGTTTGGTGAATAATATACACGCGAGCAGGAAGTTGAGGCGTCATCAGATAATATACGGTGAGTTGGCATTTAAGCAGAGGGGCTGGTTGGGAAAGTTGCAGGTGGGTGATAGGATTTCAATTATTCCTAGGGCTCAATATCCTGGCTGGAGGAACTTTGTGAGTGAGGCCTCGATCGAGGTTTTTAGTACGTGTTTGGTGAGAGGTGTGGGGGAAGGTTGATGATGCGTTAGGTAGTGTTGCCCTTCTTCTTCTTCTTTTTGCCATCGACAGTGCTATAGTCAGGTTATGTCGATACAGTCACCCTTGGCCTTGAATAAATTTAATACGATTCAATATGATCAGAAATTGGATGATGATGGATGGTGATATAGTAGTATAGTACATTGTAGAAGAAACAAGTTCCATCGCAGGTGCTTAAGCTTAACAGATATGCAAGAAACGAAGCGAAACGAAGCGCAAACGCCAACTCATCAGGAGTGCCCTTCACGCTGCCGCTTTATGCCTTTCTCCGCTCCTCAAGTCTAAGCTTCGCCCGAACCTCCTTCTGTCGTCGCTCACCACCATCAACCTTATGTCCACGCTTATCCTCCCACATACCCTCCTGAACAGTGATAGTGGCAGCAGTACCGTGCGTGCCCTTCATCGGCTGCAGGAATGGTCCCATGATCTTATTGCCGCGCTGGACCTTCATGTGTGCGTATTTCTTCAGGACTTTGGAGACTTGGTGCGTGTATTCGGTTGCGTCGGGGGTGAGGTTTACGACGACTTTCTTTGTCTTGGGGACGATTGGTGCGGAAGTCTCGCTCTTGCCGTCCTTGCCGTCCTTGGTGGCATTTGCGTTTGCTGCCGGTGCTGAAGCGGGAATTTCAACAACACGCAATTGAGCAACGCCGTCCACGACGTGTTCCAGATCTCCACCAGGACCGTGTAGACCGTTGCGGAACTTCTCGCGCTTGCGAATGAGATATCTGCGCTGTCGGGAATTTTCAATTCCAAGGCTGCGGAGTTGGTCGGAGGTTGAGGCGAAGAGTTGTTCCCATGAAGTGATCTTGCTTGAGTGTTTGGACATTTCGCGGCCGATTAGAGTGAGGAATGTCGGGACATTCGGGGACGAAGGGGGTTGGTGATGGCACGGATGGAACCACCTTTTGGGAGAGGGGGCGAATGGTTTGTCGGGAGATGCTGGCTGTTTGAAGAATTCGAGAGGAGGATAGGCCTCGGAGGATGGGGTTGCGCATTGCCATGGCGGTTGTGTTGTGGAAGCTCGTGCTCTCCCACAATTAGGTTCGGAGTTGTGTTTTTTTGTGTCTGGAAGAGGCCCAAATCACCAATAGCACCGAGAGTGGTGGTGCGGAGAGGTATTGAGGGGACAGAAGGTGAGAATCCGGGGGTTTCTGTTGAATCGCAGTCGCGGTCCGAAATTTCGGGGGAGACGGACAACTTTGGGCAGTACCTGTATTTGCCCACCGCCTTCGCCCTGCACTGCGGTGAAAGGCGGTGGACATTTCTACTCCGAGCTCAAGCATTACACAAGGCGGACCGCCCTTGAGGACTACAGATTTCCTTTGAGATGGATTCTGATTCTCGTTTCTGATCAACAGTGTCACTTGGTGGTTATTTCACTTCTGTGATCAGCAGTGCTTCATCGCCAAGGGCCCTCTGCCCCCGAAGCTGCCCATTTCCAATCTGCAGCAGTCATGGCAGCTTCACCTTTCGCCTCCCGCTCACCGTCAATGACGGTGGCTTCCCCCAATACAGCTATTAGGTTGAAAGCATCTGCCGCTCAATCTGGATCTGGATCTGCAGCAGATGTGAAGACTTCGTCCCAGCCCAATGGTGAACTCACAGAGCAGTTGAATAACTCTGTCGCGCAGAATTATGAAAGAGGTTCGACCCCCCACCCCCGCCAAACATCGAGAGGACTAAACTAACACCTTCCTCCCTCCCTCATAGGCAAGAAGCTAGGTGAAGGTACATACGCCGTGGTCTACCAGGGATTTCGCCGAGACACCGCAACAACCGTCGCAATCAAAAAGATCAAAGTCAATGCCGACTACAAAGATGGACTCGCCATGGACGCAATTCGCGAAGTGAAATACCTCCAAGAACTATCCCACCCAAACGTCATCGCCCTCCACGACGTGTTTTCCAAGCATGAAAACCTGCACTTGGTACTAGAATTCCTACCCGGCGGCGATCTGGAAATGCTCATTCGCGATCAAAATGTCCAATATGGCGCGGCGGATATCAAAGCTTGGATGGGCATGCTCGCGCGCGGGGTATGGTTTTGCCACGAGAATTACGTGCTGCATCGAGATATCAAGCCGAACAATTTGTTAATTGCAGCGGATGGCGAGGTCAAATTGGCCGATTTTGGTCTGGCCCGGTCATTTGCTGATCCTTATCTAAACATGACCCACCAGGTGATTACTCGCTGGTATAGACCCCCCGAGTTACTCTATGGGGCGAGGCAATACTCCGGCGCAGTCGATGTGTGGTCGATGGGGATGGTATTTGCGGAATTGCTACTGCGAGTTCCCTTTGTCGCGGGGAATACGGATTTGGATCAAATTTCCAAGATCTGTGAGGCCTTTGGTACACCCACTGAAGAGAATTGGCCGGGCGTTACCAAGTTGCCGTACTATATTGAGACGGATAGTAGTCAGATTATTCCTACTTCTGGACGGGACTTTTTCTCACGGCAGTTCCCTACCGCTGGTCCGGTGGGTGCTGATCTATTGATGTCGATGTGTACGTTGGATCCGAGGAAGCGGATTACGGCGGTCCAGGCTTTGCGACATAAATGGTGGACCATTGATCCTCAACCAACTAAGAATGAAGACCTTCCGCAAAAACGCCACGCGGAGAAGAAGATGGCGGAGGATATGAGTCGACGCGGTGGCGAGGTTAATGATAGCCCATTTAAGAATGCGGCCCGACAGTTGGATTTCGGCGGGCGATAAAAATAATGAAATGACCATGACCATGACCATGACCATGACCAGGAGTACAGTAGATGATGATGATGATTTCATTTACCCTGACCCCTCACCTCGACGGTGATATGCAGGCTACCTCAACTATATATATCTCTGAACGTACATGTAGTTTGTCCCACTTCCTGTCAACGAACTTAGAGCCTCGTCACGGCCTGCCGTGGCCTAATTGCCGCTTCCACTGTTAGGCTGCCCTGATGGCGCGCGACTACGAAACCGTTGTGACGCCTCGGCGAAGTCCAATACGGCCTGGACCGTCTTCGCCCTCGAGACGGTGTCTGGTTTACCTTTCCCACCTTGTTTTGAGCCTCCCAGCAGACTCGACACGCTGTTGAACGCATCCCCCACTTTCTGCCTCAATTCCCTTCGTAGATCCTTTAAGATTGGGCAATCCACCAGAACGTGGGTCACTGTCTCTTGTGCGCCGCACACGCACTGATCGTCCTCGCGGAAACGAAAGAGCTTGGCGTAGGTGGATAACCAATTATGGCCCGTGCGTAGCTGAGTCAACAAATATGCCTGGCCCCTGGTCAGGTTTCCGTACAACTTCCTGGTATATACCGACGGCAGAGTGTTGTCGATCTTCTTTAAATGGCCGCCTTTACTGGCTGATCTCCACTCTTGTTCCCACTGGGCGATGATACTACTACGAATGAACGCCTTCTCTCTTGTGAGCAGCGGCCGGAAGGAGTGTGATTTGCCTGGGCTGGCAGCCTCCTTCGCCATTCGATCTGCGGCTTCATTGCCTGGGTTATCACAATGCCCTGGCACCCACTGTAGGCGGAGTGTAACGCCTGCGGCTTGGACCTCAGTGGCAGCGTGGTGAATTGCATGAACAATCCGTTGTCCTGACTTCTTTTTCGTGTTCTGAATTGCTTGTAAGGCTGACCTGCTGTCGCAGAGGATTGTCGCGGCTGTCTCTCGGTCTTCCGCCCCCGGTTGCTGGTGTGCTATTTTGAAGATCATGTTGATCGCATAAAAGACGCCAATCAGCTCCGCCACGTGAACTGACCAACGGTCCATCGGTCCCACCTGGACTTGCTGTGATTCTACTACCTCCATGTTGTTGTCTATTGTTACGACGGCTGCTCCCAGCTGGCCATCGCGACCGGACGCATCCGAGTAGACGATTATATCTGATTCTGATCGGATGGCGTCGGCGCGTTGTCTCGCTGCCTCTCGGTCTAAGCCAACCTCGACGTCTGTGAAAGGGTCGAGGCGCCATGGTGGTAGTGGTCGTGGGTCAATTGTTTCCACTTCGTTCAATCTCTCGACGCTCATGGTTTTCAATGCTTCCGCCAAGGGGAAGCGTGCATACGATCCGGTATTGTTTCTACGGCGTTGGGCTCGTGTGAGTGTGTGCCAGATCGGGTGGTCCCGAGGTAGTGTGTGAAGACTGGCGATGGTGCGCTGGGCTCGGTGTCGAAGGCGAAGATGGGTGGGAAGAATGTGTGCTTCTACTTCCAGGGTTGTTGTGGCCACTGTTCGGAACGCCGATAAGATGCGGATCAGCGAGCTTCTCTGCACTGTGTTCAGGTGTCGCAGATGGGTCTTATCTCTTAGCGGGTCGTACCATACGGTTGACGCGTAGTCGACGACCGGCGTGACGCATGCCTGGTAAAGCTGTCGCATCTGTTCAGGCCGCAGGTGCCGCAATCCACATAAAGCAATAGTGGTTTTGGTTGCGCGTTTGATGGCCTGTTGTACGTGCTCCTTCCACCGTAGCTCCTGGTCAAAAATCACACCCAGCAGCTTCGCTGTAGGCGAGGGCGACACAACTGTTCCGTTTACGACGATCTGGCCTTGCAGGTGGTCCCTTTTCTTCCGGGTGAGGTGGATGAGCTCGGTTTTATCCGCGGCGAAACAGGACCCGGTCCGGCGCGCCCAGGCCTCAATGCGGGGGATATCTTCGGACTGTATTTTGGCTAAGTTCTCTTCGGCCGACCGGCCCACTCGCCAGCGGAAGTAGTCATCGATGAACGCCGAAGCACCTCCGTGGATGGTGACGGGTTGATCAACTAGATCAGCGTTGAAGAATGCGAATAGGATGGGTGATAGCGGTGAGCCCTGCGCGAGTCCAGCATTCGCTAGCGGTGCAGTCACGGTACGAAAGTCGTCGAATCCTATGCTGGCGTGGCGGTCTTTCATAAAGCTTGCAATCCATTTACGGGCTACGGCAGGAATCCTTCTGGCCCGTAGGGCGGAGTCTAGGCTCGTCTTGTTGACTCCGTTGAAGGCTCCTCTCAGGTCGAATGAGACGAGGGTGACTACTTTGTGCTTGTACCAGGCCTGGTCGATCGCGTTCGAGAGCACGAGCAGCGCTTGTTCTGTGGTTCTTCCCGGGCGGCCACCAAATTGAGTGTCCGGTAGCAACCCGTGCTTTTCTGCAAGATATGAAAGTCGTTTGGCGATTACTGCTTCTAGGAGCTTGCCTAGCGTGTTGAGGAGTGAGATTGGACGGTAGGCGCCAGGAATCGAGTAGTCTGGTTTCCCGGGTTTCCTCAGCACCACAATCTTCGCGCTACGCCACTGTTTCGGGTGGTACCCTAGATCTATTGAAGCGTTGAAAATTCTGGTGATGACACTTCCGAGGTGTATCCACAGCTGTTTCCATACCATCATTGGTAGGTTGTCTTCTCCTGGCGCGGTGGTTCCTTTGGCATTTTGAAGAGATCTTTGGACCTCTAGCTCAGTGATAGGTTGCCAGGGCAGTTCCAACGGTGCTGCAGTTGACCCATAGGCGGCAGGCGTGTTCATTTCGGGGAAGAAGGAGTCAAGAAAGGCTTTCGCTTTGTCCTCGTTCTCAGTCACTTCGCGGGTTCCCACCTTCAAGGCTGGGACACAACCCCAGCTGTCTCGCGGTTTCATGTAGGTAGCCGCTTTCCAGAGTTTTCCTTCCCTGCCTTGTCCAGGAATTGCTTCCAGTGGGATGCTTTGGCTTTCTCAATAGTCCGAGTCCATGTCCGTCGACTTTGCTGCATCTCTTGAAAGGCGGCTTCAGTATGAGGATGGCCACACCCGAGCATTGCGCAGTGTTGTTGCCATCTTCGACGTATCTTGTTGACATTGGTTT